TGTTTAAACGAGGCGTTTTAGGTAGGCGTGGTTGACTCTTAACTTTTATAAAGAATATCTCTTTGGATTTGAGACTTTAGTCTTTGCAACTTTACGATCTTCTTTATGCACCAAGAGCTTGTAACACTCCAAAGAGAAAGGAAAAATTTAAATCGCATCATATGACCCCTTTAACTATAATATTAACTAACTTAACTTAACTATAATGCTCAGTGGTAGAGCATTGCGTTAGCAGCACAAAAGGTCGTGGGTTCGATTCCCAGGGAACACACATACTGGTAAAAAAAAATGTAGAGCATGAATGCACTGTAAGTCGCTTTGGATAAAAGCGTCTGCTAAATGCATAAATTATTATTATTAAATTAAATTAGAAAATTCAACAATAGGCTTGAAGCAAATTGTTTTAGTGTGAAAACTGCAAATACTTTATTTTTTAATGTCATTTAGTAACATTGGATTTGGTGTGAAGAGGCCACCCTGAGAGGATTTTTGGACTTGAGCCTAGTCAGCAGGGTATCTTGATTTTATGGAGGATTTCCAAAAACAAAACAACCCTCCATTTGAGGTTTGGCATTTCTTGAAAACATGCTTCTTTAATAAAAAAAATTTAAAAAAAGATGCCCACTGTACAGTACTTAATTTTTTTAAATTCTTCTGAAAAGAAAAGTGTAGTAGTTTATTGTGGCAGAGTGGGTGTGTTTTGGTAAATGGAGTGTGTGTTGCCTTCAGACAAGAGTGTATTTAAGTTGTATAGGCGGGTGGTGAAGGTTGAGGATGGTCTTTCCCCTCCGCTGGCACAAAGACCCTGAGAGAAAGCACAGCACTAATAGCCTCTGATTAACAGGATTACAGGCCTTCTGCAACATTACAACCATTCATCAATTACCCAGTGTACTTAGCATGTGTATGTGTCTGGGGGTGTTATTTTCAGTATGTTAAATGTAAATGAAAGGGAGGTCGCTCTGATGTTGGGTTTTGAATCTTCACTTCACCATGCGTGTCCATACAAGGGGCTACAGCTCCCTGTACAAAGACAGCGAGGTCTAGTGTGTGCGTTTGCATGAATGCGTGTCAAGTCAAGTCAAGTCACCTTTATTTATATAGCGCTTTTAACAATACAGATTGTGTCAAAGCAACTGAACAGCATTAATTAGGAAAATAGTGTGTCAATAATGCAAAATGACAATAGTAAACACTAATTTTCCAGTTAAAGACAGTTCATCATTGAATTCAGTGATGTCTTCATTCAGCTCAGTTCAGTTTAAATAGTATCTTTGCAATCATTTGCAATCAAGTCAACAATATCGCTGGAAATGAAGTGTGTGTGTATGTGTGTACCGGTACAACAGAACACTGACTTCAGTGTGAAGTCAGTATAGTGTGCTGCTTGTCTTGTCATGTCTCTGATTTAATTAGCTGAATTTTAACAAGCCCCAGATTAAATCCCCCAGATGTCTCCGATGGAGCCCCCCACCTCTGTTTCCACGGCAATGCCATTATTCCCCATGCCAATTGGGCTCTAATTAGAGCAGCTATTATGGGCTGGAGGGGTGGGATGTGTGTGAGCGTGTATGCGCGTGTCCATTTTTGGAAGGTGACGGGGGTCAGTACAACATTGGAGACCATGAAGCGTTTGATACTGAAGATCTCTTGCTCTTTTCCTCCATCAGTTCCTCCCCTCATCCAGCCCTTTGACTTCCCTCCAACCTCCATCGGTAAGCTGATGTACATAGCTTGCGTGGTGTCTTCCGGAGACATGCCAATCCGGATCACCTGGAGGAAGGACGGGCAGGAGATCGTGTCAGGAACATCAGGAGTCACCATCGAAACCAAGGAGTTCATGAGCTCCCTTCAGATCTCCAAAGTTTCATTGGAGCACAATGGAAACTACACCTGTATTGCCAGCAATGATGCAGCAACTGTCAGTTCAGAGAGACAACTCATAGTAACAGGTGAGCAAGAGAGTGAGGGTTTTACGGCAATGTAGTACGGGATTCTCAGCATGATTTCACCATTTAGGACCATTTCTGGACCAGATTAGGGGCATTCGCACCAGAGGAACCTTTTCATAGTGTATTTTCATAATGTATTTATTTCTAGGAACTCCGTTTGGGGAACTAAATAAGCTCCTACTTCAGAGTAGGGTCTAAAAGAGTTCTATAGGAACTACCAGTGACGTAAGTGTCCCCTGATTGGTCAAACGCATACGAAACACCGGCAACCCGCCATTTGTAAAAAGCCGTGTAAAAATAACTATTTCATGAACACGGAAAACAGCGATAATGGCATTTACTTACCTGTTGTCTGCAGTGTTATGTTCTTTTCTCAGCCTTGATGAAATGTAATGCTCCAAGTTGTCATAGGAGATTTAGTCAGATTTTCATGCTCTTGTAAATTGTGCATTTACATTTCTTCTCCGTTATCACGAAACCCACAACACACAACAAAAACAGCTCCAATCACGGTGTCCAACATTCACCAGTTGTTGACGTTTGTAAATGCCATGAATAAAGACGTCGCTGTCGGCCACTTTAGAGTTCCTGCTGCTGGTGCGAATGCAACCAAGAAAATGGCCTGAGGGGGAAATCTGTTATCTAGGAACCACCATGCTGGCTAGTTCCTAGAACTATGTGATGTGAAAGCCCCTATTTATTTAGTTTAGGGTTGGTGTTATATTGGCGATAGGGTTAGGACTATGTTTGTTTGACCTAATGTTGGTCTTGGACCAACAATTTGTCCTACTTGGCAAACCACTTTATCGGTATCTCCTCTTCTGAAACTGTGTATGTTCTTTGTTGTAGTTCCCCCTGGTTTTCGGGTTCAGCCCAATAACCAAGATGGTATCTATGGCAAGTCTGAAGTTCTGAACTGCTCTGTGGAAGGGTACCCTCCTCCCAAAGTTGTCTGGAAGCATGCCAAAGGTAATATTTTATTTATTTATTTATTTTTTGTCACTGCATGTCCAAAGCATAAATTTCAAGTTGTCATGAGCAGATGATAAGTCTTCATTTTGATTCTGAAGGTATAGGGAACCCCCAGCAGTACCATCCAGTTCCACTGACAGGTCGCATCCAGATCCTGTCCAACGGATCTCTGCTGATCCGCCATGTTTTAGAGGAAGACCGGGGATATTACCTGTGTCAGGCCAGCAACGGAGTGGGGTCCGACATCAGCAAGAGCATGATGCTCACTGTTAAAAGTATGTCATGGCTCTCATGTACATCTACACTTTTAAAAATAAAGTTTCCAAAAAGGGGTTTTCACAGTGATGCGATAGAAAAAACATTTTTGGTTCCACAAAGAGGCTTTCAGTGAACAGTTAATTTATTTTCGATTGAAGAATGAAAGACACAAACATCTTGGATGACATGGGGGTAAACAAATTATCAGTAAGTTTTTATTCTGGAAGTGAACTAATCATTTAACAGACTGTTTTTGTAAAGACTAAAATAACTGGAAACGACTGACCCCAAGAGCCTTGAACATTTACAAGTTACAAATGACCGTAACCACTTTTACATTAAAAATATAATATATACATTTTGACATTGATATTTTAATAAGCTCAAGTCTCAATACTTGCTGTAAATAAATGTGTAAGAAATACACTAATACTAGAGGAAATTCAAGTTCTTAAAATTGTTTAAATATTTCGAATTAGCAATTGTTTTCAGAGTTTATATATTAAGAACTTTGAATTTACCTTGATTCCATTCAAAATCTTGAATAAAAATTCTGAGATTTTCTCACTTGTGAAGGATGCATACAGTACTGCTTTTGACCTAAATAAGGTACCTTAGAAGACTGCCTAATTTATGCCTAGACATGTTCTCTAGGTAGACAGGTTTCAGGGCATAGCTGTTGAATATAAGAAATTCCATAATAGTTAAATCTCTCATTATACCATGACATACAAATAAAGCCATATTTTTGAATTCCAGTCACAGTAGATGTGAGGATTTCTTGGATGCGATTTGACCTGCAGCCTTTGGGATGGTTTGCGATGGTGTGTGTTTGAGGTCTTTGTTTAAGAATGGCCCTCAGATGGGCTTTCACGTCTCAGACTGATGCCTGCGGAAAGGGTTCGAGATGCTTGAGTGGACACAGACTCACACACAACACACCACCTCTACACACACACACACACCTGCACCTGTCACACTTTGTCACTCAAACTAATGACCCAGCTTATGATATATCAGTCACACTGAGGCAAGAAATACAAGAAGCCTTTGACTTGTTTTATATAGTAGCTAGAATTGCCAGGAGTTACTGCTTGCATGTGTATGTGTGTGTGTGTGTGTGTGTGTGTGTGTGTGTGTGTGAGAACAGCTCTCAATAAGAGTACCAAAACAACAGATTCAAGTGTGCCCAGCTCATTTAGATTAATAGAACATTACAACGAATCCGTAAGGCCATCTCATGACTGATCGTTAAATCGGACACACGATCTGTTCTGTCCAAATCCATATTATTGATCCTTCACATAATGTAGAGTGCAGAAAACTCCCTTCCACGCAACACTGCCCTAGGCCTGAGTTACTGTCCTGACCACATTTAAACAAACCTCATCAACCGGTGTATTAATTTACATTCAGCCAGAATATTCTACCCAGTTAAATCTTAAGAAATGTGCTAAGAGATGTATTTGAAAAAGAGAACGTATTTTATTTTATTTCATTTTATTTTATTTTTTATGTTGTTTTAGTTTATTTTATATTTTCACCTCAATTTCTCATTAATGTAATGCAAATTAGTCTCATTCTAATGAATGGTATGTAATGCTTAAACTATCTTTATTACTGTAATTAAAATGATAGTATCCAGACCATGTTATTTTATTAAAATTAAAATAAATACTACAAATATATGCTTATAACAGTACTTGACAAGTGTCAAAATAAGTTACTTCTTAAGAAACTGTTAGAAAAAATATATAATTATCATCAATGGACATGAAACCATAAATAAGAATGACCCATATAAATCACTTAGTATGATAACTACTACCATTCCATTTACTGAGAACGAAATTTTACGGCATAAGTCTGCTGACAATTTATGCAAAAATCTATGCTACAAACTCCCTGGGGCAAAATAGACTTTGATCATTATTAATGATAATAATGATTGAATAATGATCATTATTTTGGGGCAAAATGTAAACATTATGCAAAAATTATACCCCCCCCTCAAAAGTAATGTAGTGTTCTTGACTAAAAAAGAAAATAAATGCTCTTGTGTTTGTAACCTCAGGACAGTAATAGTAGGATTGCTAGGATAAATGTACTTAAGTTATGCAGTGTTATTCAACAAGAGATAGTAGAGCATGGTTTTAAATTTTCATGCAAAGCCTGTGGATATCATGCGGCTCTGTGTTTACGGCATCCTACTTTTTTTTTCTTTTTTTTAACAGTGGATCTGCCTCCTTTTCGCTCTCTCTCGCGCTCTCTGCTTCAGTGTTGGTGTTATTGATTGAATCGTTCCTCTGTTCTGCCTCCCTCAATTCTATCCGTTTCACTCGTTGGAAGGGAGGGAATGAATAAGTGATGAAAACAAAACAGCGGAACCCTCTTCAGATCGATATTGTGTGTGTGTGTGTGTGTGTGTGGCAGCACTAGAGAAGTTACTCGGGGGGGAATGAGCAAGCGGGAGAGTGTGAAAAAGTGATTGAGGAGTTGAAGAGAGACATGCTAACGCTCACTGCCCCATGTCACAAGAACGGCAGGTGTCGGGTTAAAGTCACACTGACCTCTGCCTCTTTTTAAATTCATTTTTTCCTTCACATATTTACCTCCTGTCCTGCTATACCTTCTTTTTGTACAGTTCCAGCTATGATCACATCCCACCCAAACACTACCATGGCCATAAAGGGGCAGAACAAGGAGTTAAACTGTACCGCCCGGGGTGAGTACCCCATCATCATCCGCTGGGAGCGAGGTGACACCGTTATTGACCCAGACCGTAACCCTCGGTACTCCATCACTACCAATTCCAACGAGAAAAGTGATGAAGTTATCTCCACACTGAAGGTGAGATACATGTGCACACACACATACAGTACATGTATGTTGTCAGTGAAGGAGTTCAATAAATGTTGAATAAAGGCAGAGGCTTGCCTAAATGTTTCCAAACAGGTTTACAGAAGTATACACTTTCACCTTTTTTTCTCAACTTTTATTTTTGCTCTTGTGGTTTGTTTGCTTGTTTGTTTGTTTACTCACTCTAAAATTATTTTATATTCTGACCTGAGAAGCTCACTGAGCGTTTATTTATATATCATTCATTCATTCATTCATTCATTCTGTAAATCCCATTTAGCTGTATGTATTTGTTTGCTTGTATTTAATTATTTGTTTATTCGTTTATTTGTTTGTTTATTCACTCTAAAATTTTTATATTCTGACCTGAGAAACACGTTAAGCATTTAATTGTTTGTTTGTGTATGTGCTTGTTTTTTGTTTACTCACTCTAAAATTATTTTATATTCTGACCTGAGAAGCACATTTATTTATTTATTTAGTAAAGCCCATTTATCTGTATTTATTTATTTATGTATTTATTTGTTTGTTTTGTTTTATAATCCAATCTGTATTATTATTATTATTAATAATAATAATAATAATAATACATTATTTTATATTTTGACATGCTCTATATATTGATTTGTTTGTTTAATTATTTTCAATAAATTATAGCATATTTTCACTTGCAAATCACTTTTTATATATGAAAGTTTGTATTTATTATTATTATTATTATTATACATTAAATTAATACATTAAACCAGAAAAAGATCATTATTTTACCCTTGAAAAAAATATAACGGTCAGCTTTAAATAAAAAGATAACACTAGGTAAAGATATCTAAACAACAGTTCACAAGGACGAACTCATTTACATAATTACTCCAACCATAACATAGTAGTGAATACAAACAGCCAGTCATCCAGCATCCCTACCTTAATGCCAAACTATGTACCTTTGTCCAAGTGACACTTGTACATTGTACAACAATACATGAAGTGGGCCTCAAAATGAGTAAAAGAGAAAAACAAGTTCTTCTCGAACACTTTTACTCTTTCTACAGCTGAAGCCAGCGGAGCGAGGGGATTCCGTCTTTTTCTCCTGCCACGCCATCAACTCATACGGCGAGGGCCGAGGGCTCATCCAGCTTACGGTGCAAGGCAAGACAATCAGCCATGAACAACACAGTCACATCTTACATGATACTCTTTATCTAGAGACACAAGATCAATAATTTACCTCCTGGCCCCAAGCCACCTCTTACTCCTCAGCCTCTCTCTCTGTCTCAATCTCCTCCATCTGTTTGAAGTCTATTTCCACTTGTTTTGTTGGCAGAACCCCCTGACCCCCCAGAGCTGGAGGTTCGAGAGGTCAAAGATCGCAGTATGAACCTGAGGTGGACGCAGCGGTTTGACGGCAACAGCATCATCACCAGCTACGACATCGAGTACAAGAACAAATCCGGTGCGGCATTGCTTTGTTTCCATTTCAAGCTTGGATGAATTACATTGTGAGCGTGCATTAAATATGTATTTGTATGTCAGAAGAATATGTAGCGAATAAGCTCAGACTGCGAGAAGATGAATGGGATGTGAACGGATTTCTGTGGCGTTGCGACTCGGGTGTATTGCCTTATTTTGCTGTTTGTACATCTGCGTTTGTCCTAGTTTTCAGTGCATCGCTGGTTTTTCAAATCCGTATGATTTGACCTGTAAACAGTCCTCTTTGCATGCTAACAAACATAATGTTCTCGAACAGCCTGGATGGAGGTGTGATGTAGTAATGTATCCGTGTTATTTTGTCCTTGTGGTAGACCCGTGGGAGCTGAAACATGCCACCCGTAAGATCTCGCCCACTAACAACCAGGCCAACATAGTGGAGCTCCACCCGGCGTCCGTGTACAGCATCCGCATGTACTCCTACAACAAGATCGGACGCAGTCAAGCCAGCAAAGAGCTGACCATCAGCACAGAGGAAGCACGTACGTCTCCCGCCCCTGATCTGGCATCATCTACTCACCCTCATGCAGTTCCAACCCTGTACTTACTTCTTTCCGTGGAACACAAGAGATTAATTTTTGAAGAATTTCCTGGTCACTCTTTTCCACAGTAATGTACTGATCTGGTTCTCGAGTTCTCACTGACTCAATGTTTTGATCACAATGGTTGAAAGCTCACCAGAAGGGAAGATTATCAGTAAATTTCAGCCTGTTTCTCACACTGAGCTATCATAGGACTTAAAATAATTGGAATATAGCACTTAAATAATATAGGGCACTTTTATTATACTTTTATGGTCCTTTTGTACCCTTTCCGAAGCTTAAAAGTACTAGTCCCCTGTCATTGTAACTAAAAGGATATCATTCAAAATTTCTCCTATTGTGTCTCACAGAAATAATAGAAAGTCATGCAGGTTTGGAATGACTTTGAGGTGACAACATTTTTTATTCCTTTAATATTCTTGTGATATGATGTGATTCTCTTTTTACAGCTCCTGATGGGCCACCCATGGATGTGATTTTACAGCCAATGACCTCTCAGAGTATCCGTGTCACCTGGAAGGTATGTCTGCGACTCCTAAACTTGCCATTCTTTGGACTTTAGACCCAAGGTCTTCAACCCTGTTCCTTGGGACCTACTGTCCTGCAGAGTTTAAAATTGCAAGACAGTGGGTCCCCAGGAGCAGGGTTGAAGACCTAGGCTTTAGAGTTTTAGATTCACTTCTTACTATGTGTCATTTTCTTTTCCCTCCACTTAGGCACCTAAGAAAGAGCTCCAGAATGGAGTGATCCGTGGCTATCAGATTGGTTATAGGGAGAATGGACCGGGCAGTAACGGACAGTACAGTATAGTGGAGATGAAAGCCACAGGTGATAGTGAGGTGTACACCCTGGATAACTTGAAAAAGTTTGCTCAGTATGGTGTGGTGGTCCAAGCGTTCAACCGAGCCGGAACTGGACCTTCCAGCTCTGAGATCAATGCCACAACACTTGAGGATGGTAATCTATCTATCTGTATATCTGTCTGTCTGTATATCTATCTATCTATCATGCTCTGGGGATTTCTCTTTTGTGTGATTGTGCACGAGTTGTGAGTACAGGGCAACTCTGGCCCGTGGCCCTCATCCACATGCATGTCACTGTCAGCGATATTGATGCTGTTAAGGATAATAGTAATAACAACAAGCATAGGAAAAAATAATTATAATTAGGCTGTCTGCCGAGGCCCCTCTCCCTGATCCACTGCTTTTCCTCCCAATCTAATTATCTGCAGCTGAGTGCATTGTCTCCCCATCTCTCTTTTCATCTTTCCTCCAGATCCCTCTCTGTGGCTTTCAACTCCCCTCCTCTCGGCTCCCACTCCTCTCTCACTCGCTCTCAAAACACCTTTCATTTATCTCTCCCTCCATCTCCCAACTTCCCCTTCCACCCCTCCACCCACTTCTGTCCCACTGTCTTTCTTCTCCATTCTTATTTTTGGAAAGCTCCTGGGTTCCTTTTGTGCCACTGTTGAGCTCTTCCATCATTTTTTCCCCGATGACTTTGCTTTTACCTCCATCAATAGTGTCCTTGTCAAGTTTTAGTTTTCTTCTAACCCTAATATCCTAAAAAGAAATCCAGCTTAACCAAGATTGTTTATTAGATTAAAACCAGGCTACTTTCTGGTAATCCAGCCAACTGACAATCCAGACCAGCTAGAAACCATGTAAAACCATCTACAACTTTAAGGTGTTTTCACTTGCATCTTCTTTAAAGGCTAATTCACACTGCACCGACAGACCAAGAGCAATGCAGACAGTCACCAGATTACAGTACATCACTTATCAGACATGCCAAGACCTGACAAAAAAATATTCAAAATGTCCAATCAGCAAAAACAAGCACTGACAAGGGGCAACACAATGATTAAATGACACCAGTCAAACATGTCTGTTGCTGTTGGTTGGTGACTGTTGATGCAGTTTAAATTGGAAAAAATTGGTCAAATGTCGACCTAGAGTAAAAATAAACCAATGACCAATGTTGGCAAGTTGTTGTCAGTCTAGTTGTTGTGGTGTGTTATGCACTGTTGCCTCTAGTTGGAATGACTGCGCATACTGAATCAGCAGTGGAGTCCATTGGCAAGAGAGATCACACTGATTGACTTCAGAAGACACCAGAAAAATGGATGTGATTAAACATAGTCAAGTGGGCACACACAGAAGACCCTTCCTAGCTCTTCCGGTTTTCCTTTTTGAATGACAAATACAGACTACTGCCACATGCTGGTACAGAGAGTTATTTCCTCTCATGCAGGTGTAGAATGTATAGACTAGTTGGCTGTTGGCTATATTCTTTGCAATGTGTTCAAGTGCAAATTTGTGTCCCAGATGTAGGTGACATGAAGCAACACCACATGTGGCTTTCGTCACTGCCAGGTCTTTGATGTCGGTTTGATATATCTGGGCACCATTGAAAAGTGGTCCAAAGATGGATGGTTTTGTTTGCTTCACAGGGGCCTCTTTGGAATGATTCATTGAAAAGATCTGACTCAAACAAATGATTTGTTCATGAATCAGAAATGGCTACTTCTCTCATGAATGTGCCAAGACGACTTAGGGTGGATGTCAAGATTTTCAGTATATAATGACTTGAATTTTGTCTGTTTGTTACATACTGTACAGAAAGCCTATTGTTAGACAGAAGATATATAGTGCACAAATTATACAGGCAATTCACATTCACTTTCATTATATTGACAAAACAGCCAGCATATTCTTAAAAAAACTTGTATGGAAGAAAGAAAGTCATACTTGCTTGAAATGACACAAGGGTAAATAAGTAATTTTGGCTGGGGGAAAGCAAGATGCCAATATACCCGTAAGATACCAATATACCTGTTCTATGATCCAGACAGCGAGTGAGAGCCTGGGTTTTGCAGGCAGGGTTGAAGAGTTATTGCGAGTTGTGCTCATGAGCGTTCTGTCAAGCCGTTCTACTCTAAATGGCAGTTTTAGTGTGGTCCACCAGGGCCAGACAGAGTCGGACCCTAAGGCCTCTTCAAACAAATACCATCATTTCTCCTCTGCTCTCCCTCCCTCCCTCCTCACACCATCTCCTTTACTCGCTCCTTCTCTTCCTGCGCCAGCTGCAGCTGCTCCCTCATAGAGCCAAGCCAGCTTTATCCCTCCTCTATCCCTCCTTTCATCCTGTCGTCCGCACATGTTTTTTTCCCTCCCAGCAAGTCACACAGACAGGCTCTGTGTCCCCTCAATAGTGCCATTATTTATTCAGAGACGCAATTTGGCACATCACCACCGCCACATTTGCAGTGTATCCGGAAAAAAATCAAACGCATTTAGTAGGTGAAACAGCTCAAGAACTAGATAACAGTAACGTTTCACTTCTCTTCAGCTTCGGGAAGTGATTGTTCCATCCATTTCGAGTGTAGTTACAAGGTTGTTGATGCTCTTGGGCCATACCAAGTGCTCCAATTGCAGTATATTACTGTCATTTTACTAGATCACTGTAATTGTGCTCTTTCACTGCAATTTTTGGTTTCCACTTCACCTATTGTATCTTGTTTCAATTGGTGCCCGAATTATTTTCCTGCCGCTTCCTTTGCTTTTATGTGACCATCTCTCGTTTTTCTCTCGCAGTTCCCAGCCAGCCGCCCCAGAATGTACGGGCCATTACGGTGACATCAGACGAGGCGGTGATCACGTGGTCCGAGCCCCCGCGGATGACCCTGAATGGGGTTTTGAAGGGCTACCGTGTCGTGTTCTGGTCCCTCTACCCCGATGGAGGTGGGTGCTGTGGGGGCCAGACACTTAGGCTCAATCAGAGTAATTATACGCTATTACTGTTACTCCCTCACTAGCCGCAGTCCCCGTAGAGCGCCCCCTACTGCCCGCCCGTGTATCTGTATCCTGGCCAGTCCAACCCACAGAGGGTGTATATTTGTGGGTGGACAGGTATATCTTTAGACCCAAGGTCTTCAACCCTGTTCCTTGGGACCTACTGTCCTGCAGAGTTTAAAATTGCAAGACAGTGGGTCCCCAGGAGCAGGGTTGAAGACCTAGGCTTTAGAGTTTTAGATTCACTTCTTACTATGTGTCATTTTCTTTTCCCTCCACTTAGGCACCTAAGAAAGAGCTCCAGAATGGAGTGATCCGTGGCTATCAGATTGGTTATAGGGAGAATGGACCGGGCAGTAACGGACAGTACAGTATAGTGGAGATGAAAGCCACAGGTGATAGTGAGGTGTACACCCTGGATAACTTGAAAAAGTTTGCTCAGTATGGTGTGGTGGTCCAAGCGTTCAACCGAGCCGGAACTGGACCTTCCAGCTCTGAGATCAATGCCACAACACTTGAGGATGGTAATCTATCTATCTGTATATCTGTCTGTCTGTATATCTATCTATCTATCATGCTCTGGGGATTTCTCTTTTGTGTGATTGTGCACGAGTTGTGAGTACAGGGCAACTCTGGCCCGTGGCCCTCATCCACATGCATGTCACTGTCAGCGATATTGATGCTGTTAAGGATAATAGTAATAACAACAAGCATAGGAAAAAATAATTATAATTAGGCTGTCTGCCGAGGCCCCTCTCCCTGATCCACTGCTTTTCCTCCCAATCTAATTATCTGCAGCTGAGTGCATTGTCTCCCCATCTCTCTTTTCATCTTTCCTCCAGATCCCTCTCTGTGGCTTTCAACTCCCCTCCTCTCGGCTCCCACTCCTCTCTCACTCGCTCTCAAAACACCTTTCATTTATCTCTCCCTCCATCTCCCAACTTCCCCTTCCACCCCTCCACCCACTTCTGTCCCACTGTCTTTCTTCTCCATTCTTATTTTTGGAAAGCTCCTGGGTTCCTTTTGTGCCACTGTTGAGCTCTTCCATCATTTTTTCCCCGATGACTTTGCTTTTACCTCCATCAATAGTGTCCTTGTCAAGTTTTAGTTTTCTTCTAACCCTAATATCCTAAAAAGAAATCCAGCTTAACCAAGATTGTTTATTAGATTAAAACCAGGCTACTTTCTGGTAATCCAGCCAACTGACAATCCAGACCAGCTAGAAACCATGTAAAACCATCTACAACTTTAAGGTGTTTTCACTTGCATCTTCTTTAAAGGCTAATTCACACTGCACCGACAGACCAAGAGCAATGCAGACAGTCACCAGATTACAGTACATCACTTATCAGACATGCCAAGACCTGACAAAAAAATATTCAAAATGTCCAATCAGCAAAAACAAGCACTGACAAGGGGCAACACAATGATTAAATGACACCAGTCAAACATGTCTGTTGCTGTTGGTTGGTGACTGTTGATGCAGTTTAAATTGGAAAAAATTGGTCAAATGTCGACCTAGAGTAAAAATAAACCAATGACCAATGTTGGCAAGTTGTTGTCAGTCTAGTTGTTGTGGTGTGTTATGCACTGTTGCCTCTAGTTGGAATGACTGCGCATACTGAATCAGCAGTGGAGTCCATTGGCAAGAGAGATCACACTGATTGACTTCAGAAGACACCAGAAAAATGGATGTGATTAAACATAGTCAAGTGGGCACACACAGAAGACCCTTCCTAGCTCTTCCGGTTTTCCTTTTTGAATGACAAATACAGACTACTGCCACATGCTGGTACAGAGAGTTATTTCCTCTCATGCAGGTGTAGAATGTATAGACTAGTTGGCTGTTGGCTATATTCTTTGCAATGTGTTCAAGTGCAAATTTGTGTCCCAGATGTAGGTGACATGAAGCAACACCACATGTGGCTTTCGTCACTGCCAGGTCTTTGATGTCGGTTTGATATATCTGGGCACCATTGAAAAGTGGTCCAAAGATGGATGGTTTTGTTTGCTTCACAGGGGCCTCTTTGGAATGATTCATTGAAAAGATCTGACTCAAACAAATGATTTGTTCATGAATCAGAAATGGCTACTTCTCTCATGAATGTGCCAAGACGACTTAGGGTGGATGTCAAGATTTTCAGTATATAATGACTTGAATTTTGTCTGTTTGTTACATACTGTACAGAAAGCCTATTGTTAGACAGAAGATATATAGTGCACAAATTATACAGGCAATTCACATTCACTTTCATTATATTGACAAAACAGCCAGCATATTCTTAAAAAAACTTGTATGGAAGAAAGAAAGTCATACTTGCTTGAAATGACACAAGGGTAAATAAGTAATTTTGGCTGGGGGAAAGCAAGATGCCAATATACCCGTAAGATACCAATATACCTGTTCTATGATCCAGACAGCGAGTGAGAGCCTGGGTTTTGCAGGCAGGGTTGAAGAGTTATTGCGAGTTGTGCTCATGAGCGTTCTGTCAAGCCGTTCTACTCTAAATGGCAGTTTTAGTGTGGTCCACCAGGGCCAGACAGAGTCGGACCCTAAGGCCTCTTCAAACAAATACCATCATTTCTCCTCTGCTCTCCCTCCCTCCCTCCTCACACCATCTCCTTTACTCGCTCCTTCTCTTCCTGCGCCAGCTGCAGCTGCTCCCTCATAGAGCCAAGCCAGCTTTATCCCTCCTCTATCCCTCCTTTCATCCTGTCGTCCGCACATGTTTTTTTCCCTCCCAGCAAGTCACACAGACAGGCTCTGTGTCCCCTCAATAGTGCCATTATTTATTCAGAGACGCAATTTGGCACATCACCACCGCCACATTTGCAGTGTATCCGGAAAAAAATCAAACGCATTTAGTAGGTGAAACAGCTCAAGAACTAGATAACAGTAACGTTTCACTTCTCTTCAGCTTCGGGAAGTGATTGTTCCATCCATTTCGAGTGTAGTTACAAGGTTGTTGATGCTCTTGGGCCATACCAAGTGCTCCAATTGCAGTATATTACTGTCATTTTACTAGATCACTGTAATTGTGCTCTTTCACTGCAATTTTTGGTTTCCACTTCACCTTGTTTCAATTGTTTCAATTGGTGCCCGAATTATTTTCCTGCCGCTTCCTTTGCTTTTATGTGACCATCTCTCTCGCAGTTCTCGCAGTTCCCAGCCAGCCGCCCCAGAATGTACGGGCCATTACGGTGACATCAGACGAGGCGGTGATCACGTGGTCCGAGCCCCCGCGGATGACCCTGAATGGGGTTTTGAAGGGCTACCGTGTCGTGTTCTGGTCCCTCTACCCCGATGGAGGTGGGTGCTGTGGGGGCCAGACACTTAGGCTCAATCAGAGTAATTATACGCTATTACTGTTACTCCCTCACTAGCCGCAGTCCCCGTAGAGCGCCCCCTACTGCCCGCCCGTGTATCTGTATCCTGGCCAGTCCAACCCACAGAGGGTGTATATTTGTGGGTGGACAGGTATATGTGTGTGTGTGTGTGTGTGTGTGTGTGTGTGTGTGTGTGTGTTGTCTTTTATATATAAAGTGAGTAAACTGTGGATTAAGAAATTGGCGAAAGTGTCTTCAGTGTCACATGATCCATCAGAAATCATTCAATCAATCTGCTAATTTGGTGCTCAAGAAACATTTCTTATTATCAATATTGAAAACAGTCATGCTTAAAGGGATAGTTTCAAAAATGAAAATTCTGTCAAAGTGTTGTTCCAAACCTGTATCAATTGCTTTCTTCTGCTGAACACAAAAGACGACATTTCGAGGAATGTTGGAGACCACTGCTAGTAGCCATTGACTTCCATATTTTTTCCCCATTCTATTGAAGTCAATAGCTACTGACAACTGTTTGGTTACCGACATTCTTCAAAATATCTTCTTTGTGTTCAACAGAGGATAAAAACTCATACAGGTTTGGAACAATGTGAGGGTGAGTAAATTATGACGAAATTAAATGTTTTAATGTGACTTTTGATAAATGTAATGTGTCTTTAATGAATACAAGTTTACTGAATAAAAATTTCTTAAAAAGCAGAAAACATTTGAATGGTAGCGTACTTGAGCCAACTTGTTGAAACGGTAAAAATGGTTCATAAATGGGCTGAATAATGTGAAAGTAATGACAAGGTAAGGGTATATTATTTATACCATACAGAATTAAGAGAAAAAGTCAAGTCTATGGGTCTTTTTGTGTTTATTCGGCTAAGTACTGTAGCAGCACCTTGGCACAGTAACGATATCAGGTGGTAAAACTACTCTATGATATTTTGATATGTACCTTGAACTAAATTGTATTTAGTAGGAATCAAGGTTCTTCAAAAAAAGCATGCTGTTACCATGGTGTATGTCCAAAAATAAATGGTATTTTAACATCTCCAAAGAGCCACTGGAAAACTTTTTACTTTTTGTTTGTTTTGCATTTGGACATAAATATCATTGTCTGCTAAATATAGCTATAGCAGTGACAAGCAACCCTTTGTCCAGCAAAACAGACTATTTTAGTCTCCCTCTGAATAATACTTTTTTGTATGTGGAATGTGTAAACATGGTTCTCCTGTGTTCCCTCATGTGATGTTTTCAAATTGGTTGCTGTTATTAGTAAGTAAATGATCATGCAATAAAAAAAGGAGAGTCATTAAATTTTTTTTCACGTCTCTCAGAATGGGGAGAGATGCAGAACATCACTACCACTCGTGAGCAGGTGGAGCTGAAGGGCTTGGAGAAGTTCACAAACTACAGCATTCAGGTTCTGGCCTACACACAGGCAGGAGATGGCGTCCGCAGCAACGTACTCTACATACAGACCAGAGAAGACCGTAAGTTCACGCACCACACATGTACACATGACCACTGATTGTATGTCAACGTATTTGCAGATATGCAAAAAAAATTTTTTTTTAAATGCAACACTTATTTCAAAACCTAGTAAGCTGGTTTGTTGTCTGTTCACTACATAGGGAATGTAGCTTGTTGTCTATTCCCTATGTAGACAGTTGACTCATAATTTGATCCAACAGAGTTTAATGTTAGCATGTTGATAAGCTAAAATCTCAGTGGTCTTATAAGCATATAATTACACAGTGTACACAAATATTGGGTAAAATAATAAATTTCAACACTAAAGTGTCTTATTGATAATTTTCAGTTTTTCAGAAAAACAAATTTTCAAGATTTGTTAATGATTTTGAAATAAGTCTATTATACTCAACAAGGCTGCAAATATTTGATCAAAAATACAGTAAAAACAGTAATATTGGAGAATATTATGATTCAAAATATATTTTTTTATATATTTTAAAATGTAATTAATTCCCATGATGGCAAAGCTGAACTTTCAGCAGTCTTCAGTGTCACATGATCCTTCAGAAATCATTCTAATATGCTGATTTGGTGCTAAAGGAACATTTCTTATTATCAATGTTGAAAACAGTTTTTTTGTGGAATATAATATAATATTTCTGTTATTTTTTTTGCAATTATAATCAATCATATTTTTTTTCCTGAGCTTGCTGCAATGCAGTTCCTTCTGGGACTGCCTTTATGAATGATTTTGTCTTAGAATGTGGCCCATTGAGGGAACTTTAAGGACAAATTAATGTTACTTTCTAATGAGCATATTTATGATCCCTTAAATGGGAAGCTCACTAGGTTTTGGACCACAAATGTATCTAAATGTATCTATGTAACAGATCATTGTGACCCTCCAATGAGCTGTCAACCCAGCCAGTGGTGGACCCGTATACAAACACACAGCCACATTATGTGCAAGCCACTTCCCCTTTACCCAGGCTCTATTCAAGCTCAAGGGTGTTGTGTGTATGAGGTATGGATGGGGGGAGGTTGTCAGATATAAAATCTTGCCACAAAACCACATTAGCTGGAGGCAAGTGCTGCATGGTCCAGGTCTAGAATGATGCTGGATTGCTTGATTGCAGGATACGGTCGCTGTGGCAACATTTAGGCTCCGATATAGCATTAGCACACTTAATGAGAATTAAGATGCTGAAGGAGGGGGGTCTGGGTAAGTGACTCAAAGCAGATCCTACATCCAACACAAGGAGAAGGATTTATTCTTTGTGGATTAGCTGACATTAATTTTGTGCTTACACTGGTCGGGATAGGATTAGGGCGATATCTGTCTCTCCTCTTTTCCCTGGTGGGGCTGAGAGGGGTTCAGGGAAATAAGGGGTTAGTGCTGGAGAGTTTTAGTGTTGGAGAAAGAGAGAGATGCATTTTCATTTAATTGAATTTAGATTTAGGAGTATAGAGATTTGTGTGGTGTCGGTTTGTCAACGGGCTACTTGTCCAGAATTTTTGGTCAGTAGTTTTGTCCATTTTCCCTCTGCTCATAGTAAGGAATTATGCTGTTAAATCATCATTAATATCACAACAGTTTGTGTCACCACATTTTAAGACCTGAACCCCCTCACGGATTGACCCATTAGATTAAACCCTAGTAATGATGATGATGATGATTTTTTTTTCCAAATCCTCCTTAAATCTCCATCTCTTCCTGAATAGTCTAGACACAATAAAGTGAGACGGTTATTTCTAAGATGCCAAGGAACCCCACAAAAGGTTCAAGGCCTGTTCACACCAATATGAATGTTCAGTTTTTGAATGTGGTTTGTCTGTTCAGACCAATGGAAAAATGGTACTGAATGAAAATGCAAATTTGTTATTTTTACATATTAAATATATTTATATATAAATTATATGAATACAAATATATACATGTAAATATGTTACAAATATATAGTGTGTGTATTTATATATATACATAATAAATATACACAGTACACACATATTATGTAAACAAAAACATTTATTTTGGATGCAATTAATCGCGAATAAAAATTTGACAGCACTACTAAAAATCTTTACTGCATTTCATGCACACTGTAAACAAACCTTAACATATTTGAAAAACCCAAAGTATACTTGGTCAGCTGACTAAATAGGCAAATTGACTGCATGACAACATCTTCTAAGTCCAGAAAAGCATTTTTCGTTTACATTTTACGAGCATACCTTTTGGTCACTGGGAAATGTGGTAAATCCCACAGTGCCTCTGTCATACATTAATCTAGTTTTCCATCTCTATATTTTTTTCTTTCAGACCCCGGTCCTCCAGCAGGCATTAAAGCCGTCCCATCCTCTACCACCAGTGTGGTGGTATCCTGGCTTCCCCCTATCAAGCCCAATGGTATCATCCGAAAATACACAATTTACTGTTCAAGCCCTGGATCAGGCCAACCGGTGAGGCAAAAAGGGGTAACTTGTTTTTAAAATTGATTTTGGTGTTGGCGTCGCTTGGTTTAGTATTTTTGTTCAAAAATAAAGGCATGCTTGCATTTGTGTGGTCATCGAAGCAGACGAAAGTGAATATTTGTGTATTTTTTACACTTATGTGCTTTATTTCATATGGGTGTGGGCACAGTATGTGTGGGTTTTAGATTATATCAGTTTTCTTTCGATTCTAAGTATAAATCAGTGTTTATTTCGCCATATTGTCTATTTGCGTCTGGATTTGTGTCGAGTGTATTTTTAATCTGTGCATGTGTGAGGTTGTGCTGCAGTATCAGCAGGATGTGTGTGTGTGTGCGTGTGTGTGTGTAAATGAGAGGCTCATACTGCAGTGTGTGCATGCAAGCTCACCCTCCCGTCTCATTTGCATATCTGCGTCTCATCACGTTGCCTAGACAACCTCATCTGTTCATCAGGGAGGGCAGGAAACAAGCTGACAGCACACACACAAACACACACACACATCCCACAGGCTCGATCACATTTATAACCACCTCCTCGACAAACACACACACACACACGTAATTTGTGTACTCTCACACTGAATTAATGTACCTGTCCAGATGTACACATGCTCACTCTCTTCCTTTCTTTCGCTCATTCACAAATCACTCCTCTCTCTCTCTCTCTCCGGCCTTTCGCAGAGCACGGGGTGATTACTATGTAAATGAGTGTGAGAGGAGAAGGGAGGGAGGAGGTAGAGAAGGAGGAAGGGGGGTCAGACTCAGTGTGCGGGGAGTACTTTTGTTCCTCTTTTCATTATCTCCCTCTATCACTCCCCGGATCACTGCTATCTCCACACCGGAGGAATATTTTAATATCCGTTACAGCGCTCCACCCCTCCCGTCTGCACCTCCCGTACCTGATTCATGCTGAGAGACACAGAGAGAGAGAGAGAGATTTTGATTTTCAAAACCCCTTTTATTACAGTTTATGCCAAAAACCAATACAACAAATTACCAAACACTAATTAAATATTAAGATTAAAAAGAAAGATACAACTCTTCTTCAACAATTTCACAAAGAATCCCACTTAAACACCAAGTTGCTTCAAAAGATACAAGATCATGCATTAATCTATAATAATGATAATCAATCAAAATCCTAGATTTTACTAATTTTACAAAAACAGCTTCTAAACTACTACAAACATTTTGCTCCATTTTTTCTTTTCTTGTAGCATAAATCGCCATTTTTGCTTGACCTAACAAGAAGTTCAACAATTGAGATTTTTTTCCGACGTTTTTTCACATATCTAAAACCACAAATAAACATTTTCATTGAAAAAGTCACATCAGAAGAATTAAAAATCTTCTTCAAGATATCAAATACAGGTTTTAACCTCTAACAGTGCATGAATGCATGACAAATAGTCTCTTTATGCAAACAAAAAGGACAATTTTCAGTAATGTCAGAAATGATCAGAGATAAATGCATTAACTGCGATGGCACCATGCAACACTCTCCACTGTAAATCCCGTTTTTTGACCAATGGTGACTTGTACAAAGCTCTCCATTCTGGTTTTTCATTGATATCAAGATTAAGTACACTTCGCCATGGTGTGTCACACTTATTATTCAAAGATTTATTGTTAAATGCTTTAACACAACCCACAATCATCAATTATTTACAATCCAACAGCATACCATTGCACTCACCCAAAAAGGGGGTTATGCTCAAGTTTGGAAAAGGGTCTTCACAATCAAAATTGATAGACTCCTTCGAGTACTTATCCAACAATTCCGTTTCTTCACCAGTAAGGGCTGATCTCCATTTTTGAAGTGCCTTTGCCACTATGCTGTATGATTTAATTTCTAACCACTCAGCAATTGCGGTCACATTTTTAAAAGCAGTTCCTGCTATTTGATGTAGATGACCGATTGTTGTCAGCTGGGCATTACGCAAAGTCCTTTCCGGTATGGTAAAAGACATCTCACTTGATAAGTCCAGTCGTTAGCCAACAATCAATGGCTCCTGTAATAACCAAAAGAGGGAAGTATTACTTTCCCTATTTGTCTTAAATAAAGACCAGACTTTAAACAAGTTACGATAAAAAACTGGAGAATCACACAGTTTTAATCTCTGAAGGTCCAACCAAAATAAGGCTTTGTCTAGTCCTAAGCCTTCAATACATCGAAGAATTGCACAAGCTGCGCTCATCCAACTTGACTCTACAGAGCACCTTAAAAGTCTTTGAACATATTGCAGACGAAACACAGCCGTTCTGCTCTGCAAGTGTACCAATCCAAGTCCTCCTTCATCCTTTGGCAAATACAAAACACTTTTTGTCACCCAGTGCAATCTGTCCCAGTAAAAATCTATTAAAATTGACTGGATTTTCATTAGAACATCAGCTGGAGGATCTATACAGGCTAAGCTGTGCCAAAGTGCAGAGGCTACTAAATTATTAATGATCAGAATACGTCCTTTACATCTAGTAGCCCTTTTACTTTTTCATATTTACAATTTTTTTTTTTTTTACAACATTTTAATTTCCTAAAAAGACACCAAGATATTTAAAACCATCCCTGGTCCATTTTAGACCATCAGGAAGCCTTGGGTCACCGTTTAACCATTTTCCAACTAAAATGGCTTCACTTTTTTCCAGTTTACCTTTGCAGAAGAAAGTATTAAAATCATCCAAAATCTTTAAAATCACATTGACATAATTGGATTCACTAATTATAATAATGACATCATCAGCATACAGTGATAGCTTTAAAGTATTAACACAATTTGGTATACATAATCAACGCACATCATTTCTTAATTTATTTAACAGGGGTTCTATGGCTAAGGAATATAACATGCCTGACAGCGCACATCCCTGTCTGACACCCCTATACACCCTAAACGGAGAGCATAGGTCACCATTAATCTTTAATATACTCTCAACGCCACAGTACATAACTTTAATCATTGAAATAAAATCAGAATTAAATCCAAAAGCCTTTAAAACACTCCATAAATACATATATTCAATTCTGACAAAAGCCTTCTCTTGATCAATTGAAATCAGCCCAAAATCTAAATCAAAAAGTTTTCCACAGTCTAAAATGTCTCTAATAAAAGAAACATTATCAAGCATTCTTCTTCCTGACACGCAATATGACTGATCTGGATGAATAATAGATTCAAGGACTTCACCAAGTCTAATTGCTAAAGCTTTAGACAGTATTTTATAATCATTACATAATAAACTTACTGGTCTCCAATTTTTTATTTCATTTAAATCTCCTTTTTTTGGCAATAAGGTAATGATCTCTCCGGCAACTTCTGGGCAATTGTCCATTTACCAGACTCTCATTAATAACAGATAATAATTCTGGACCCACTTCTACCCAGAAAGATTTATAAAATTCAATCGTGAAACCATCAATACCTGGTGTTCTTCCATTTTCCATTTTTTAAGGGCTTCTTCAAGTTCACCTAAGCTCAAGGTTTTACTAATTTTCTCATTAGCATCTTTAGTTATCTGTGGTAAATTAAAAAAAATTATAATTACCATCTTGTTCTCCTGAAATTTCACATTTGTACAAGTCTTTATAAACCTGTACAGCTCTTTTTCTAATTTATCTAAGGGGTTAGTCAAAAAATCCCCCTTTTCAGACCGCAAAGCATGAATAATTTTTTTCTTACCATTTTTTTTTTCTAAACTGAAAAATAATTTTGAAGGAGCATCCATTAATTCTGCATTTTGAAAACAGGATCTAATTATAGCCCCTCTCATTGTCAAACCTAGCATATCAGCTAATAAACTCGTTTTCTTTTTTTATGTTCTCCATATAGGTTGCATCTTTTGTGGACTCTGCTAACTCTTGTAACTTTATTAAATCTTCTTCCAACACACACATTGAGCTATTAATGTCTCTTGTGGCGTTGTGAGAATATTGCAGACACAATTGTTTTATTTATACCTTCACAAAATCCCACCACTGCTGTAATGTTGAAAAGGAAAATTTCATACCTTTAGCATTTTTCCAAAACTCTTTAAAAACTTCTCTAAAAAGAGAATCACACAGTAGATTATTATTAAAATGCCAATAGCTTTTTGATTTTACATAGTTTTTTTTGCTACAACACATTTTATCAAACTGTGATCAGAAAAAAACATACCGGAAGTATTAAACACTCTCTAAACATACTTAATTGATGCTTAAAACCATACAATCGATCAAGCCTTGCCAACGATATCTGATTATCATGAGCATAAGCCCAAGTGTACTGTCTCTGTAAACCATGGACATTCCTCCATATATCAGTAATGCTATGAGACTTTATCATTTGAATTAACCTCTTCCTTGATTGCATGTGTGGTTCAACATGATTTCGGTCCATAACATTTTCAGTGCAGTTAAAATCTCCTCCTAGCATTAAGAAATCATCATTGTTACAATCATTTAAAACATCATCCAAAGTGTTAAAAAAATAATAATTATTTCAATTGCCATAGTTGGAGCATATACACAGATAAAAACAAAAGAGCTATTTTCAAATACAGCTTTAACTTTCAACACCCTTCCTTTAATTATTTATTCTGCATTATTGGAATATGGAGTAAATTTCTTTGAAAATAACACAGCAACTCCACCACTGAAGGAGGTATAATGGCTTAAAATCACTAAACCATCAAATTCTTTAGCCCAATCTACAGCATTAGATACATCGCTATGAGTCTCTTGTACAAACAATACATCAATTGTCTTATGTTTCATTAATTCAAATACTTGAGCTCTTTTCTTAAAATCTCTTGCTCCATTAACATTCAAGGAAGCAAGATTTAGTGACGTGACATGTGGCCAAGTATGGTGACCCATACTTGGAATTAGTGCTCTGCATTTTAACCCATCCAAAGTGCACACACACAGCAGTGAACACACACACACCGTGAACACACACCCGGAGCAGTGGGCAGCCATTTTTGCTGCGGCGCCCGGGGAGCAGTTGGGGG